TTGTCTAATTTTTTTTGATTCGTTTTTATAAGATTTTATAAAATCAAATATTCTAAAAATAATAATATAAGTTCAAGATAGATATAATAGTTTATGATATGCAGTATCATGATTCGATTTTTTAACAGTTTTTTAACAAAATTTAAAAATTTCTATTTTGTTTCTACATTGATGAATATTTGTATAAAACAATATATTTTTCTTATTTATGAAATCATTCTATAATATTATGATATAAAAATAACAATAATAATAGTATTAAAAAGAAAATAAATTTATGCTTAATAAGATAAAAATAGAAATTCTATATCTTATAGTTGGCGTTAACTCGTTGAAAAAGTAACTAGTTGAAAAAGTAACTAGTTAAAAAATTTCAAAAAAAGTTAAATAATTATTTATTAAAATATTTAAAAAATATATTCGTAGTTATATTATAATTGACCTTTTCATATAATCTCGATATTATTTGCGATTATTAATATATTTTGAACAATAAATTACTAAAGTAACTTATCGAAATAACTTTATTCATAACTATTAAATTATAAATTTTGTAATTATTTGTTGCATATAAGGCATCAGAAGCCAATTATAATATGTTAGTATTTCATTCTTTAAAAATGATTTAGATCAAATATTTCTTTATTATTCAAACTTTCAATAAATTAATTATGTAACTACTTCAATAGTTTAATATTGACTTAATTGTTAATCGAAAATTTAAACAATAAAAAGATTTTTGAACTAGATAATTTTAAATAAATCATTTTCAGAAAATGTAACAATGATTGGTTTCTAAATTTTTCCATATATACAATGAACATATGAAAAAATTTTATTCTTTAAAAGTAATACATTGATAATCACACAGACTATATCAGGATTAATTCATTCTTATTAGAGATAACAAAATTCGATCGTAAAATAAGTTGTTCGATTAAAAAAAAATGGGGAATTTTTTTTTGCCAGTCAACCAAAGGCTCATAATTTCGCGTTTAAATGTAACAAGATTCGATTGGTTTTTCGATTCACGATTCGTTGCGAGTATTATACGACCTTATCGATAGTGCTAATTTATTATCGATTCTTGTTTTATCGTGTTCACTGACATTCACGTGGGCAGTATGAAATGCATACCGGTGCAAAATGGACGCGCGCAGGTGTCACTTTCACGCCTTCTTTGGCAGAGATGCATCCAGCATGCATAGATGCACGCAAAACATGAGAGCGCATCGGGGATCGTGTTACGAGGTGAAGGAATCCAAGATGTGACCGCAATTTCGATTCTATTAACATATTTTTACCACATAGATAAGAAGAAAACGACAAGAAGGGTGTATCAAATTTAATTTATTGCATCGAATCAAATTTCATCGAAATCGAAGTCTGGCATTTCTTTTCGTTTTTCTTTTTTTTTTCTTTTTCTCTTTTTTCATGCAGTTTGATTCTTTCTGATCAATCGTACGTATGATATATATGTATATATATTATGTTTTTATTCCCATAAAAGTTAATTTTAATTTCTAATTGCTGAATTTAGAAGAAATAAATTATTTAAAATAATTTCTGAAAATATTTTTTTACAATTATTAATTTATTACAATTTTATATATTGTACTCATAAATAGAAATTAATTTAATTAAGTCGAACTTATGTAACATAACTATTTTTATTTTTTCAACATAAATTAGATGTAAAATTTTTTTATAATTTCATCTCAAATTTAAAAATTGTCAATTTTTATATTTAAAACATTTCTAATAATTTTTAACAAATTTATTTTATTGATATTTATTTTATTAATTTGATTTTAATTTGATCTGTAATTATTCGAGCTCACCTGTCTGATCTTAAAAAATGATCATGAACTAAATAAAAAGAGCTTAGTCAATGCATTATTTCTTAATCAAAAACATCAATCAAAAACAGCAAAGAATCGATCTATAATGAAGTGAAAAGTTTAAAATAGGAATTCAAATTTTAACAATAAAAATCATTAAAATAATTAATAATTATCTAAATAATAATTTAGAAAATTAAAATAAAATATCAAATATTATAAATATGGAATTACATTTTTGTACGATTTCTTTTTAAAATAAAATATAGGTAAGGGAATTTTTATTTATAAAAATAACATACAAAAATAAATTAATTAAATTAATAATTGTGAAATAAAATAATCATTTTACAAATTATTAAGTAATCCATATCATCCACAGTTTTTACATGTATAAATTAATCTATTCTATGTACATAATGTATAAGTTAGTTTGATCATTATTACAATTCTTTAAGAATATTTTTAAGAAAAATATTATAGATTGTATCATATCATGATTATTCTATTAATATAAGTTCATTCAATATATTATATCATAAAAAAAAATCTTTTATCTTTTTAGTGATTATACATATAATTCAATTTCTAAGAAAATGATACTTTTTAAAATTACAATTTTTTAATTATAAAATCAATGAAATTGGATAATTGTATTGTAATATTAACTACAAACATCTTCGAAACTAAATAATATATCCAGAATTAAGTTCATTTGAAAATGAAAATTCCTAATTGAAAATTCTCCTTATGAATTCCTGTTTATTAGTAATAAAAAAAAAGCACTTCCCTTTATATTTTTTTCACAAAACTATTATACTATTATTTTCTATTTTTCTATAGAATTTTAAATTCTATTGCTTTACCGTTACTTGACATTATTTGTTATTGATTTACATTCCAAGGTTGTTACAATTTTATTATTAGAAAATTAGATCACCGTTAATTTACATTCTCTGATATTTACAAGAGTTCTATTCTAAGGTTCTATTATTAGACAATTATCATAACTACAAATTTATAAGAAAAATAAAATGAAAAGTAAAAATCGAATATAGAAAATTTTCGAAATTAAATCAATGCACAAAATTTAAAAAAATATAAAAAATAAAAAATATAAAAAAAAAATCACAAAAAAAATTGTATTCAAAACACAAAAAGATTGAAACTTTGGAAATTAATCTTTCCCTTTCACAAGGATAAGAAAATTATTCTATGTATGATCCATTATGCCCTATATATAAACTTTAAAAATTAAATATTGAATTAAAATATTATTTTCTTATTAAAATCAAAATTTTCGAATTTTTGAGAACCTCTCCGTAGAAGCTAAACGAAACACGAATAATCGAGTCGTATTATTCATTGCCGAAATCGATCGAATTATGATACACAAAAATATTTCTTCTAAATTGAAAAATCTACAGCTATGCATGGTGAGTTTTCCAATTTAATGAAAGGATAAGATAAAAGGATAAGCAGCGGTTGGTTAGTGTTCCTTTCGGATATAGGAATTGCGAATATCACGCAAATGAAGCTGGCAAGTAGAATGCTCGACGAAGGGGTCGGAATTGAAATTGTTCTCGCTTGCGCGTACTATCCGCTACAAACACGCGTGTGCGAACGTGTGCACGCGTTCAAAGCCAAACACTCGCCGGGATAATTTCCATCGCCTTTTCCTTCCGTAATCAAACCATCCGCGGCTTCTGTGCAATTACGTGGCGAAATTGATTTAAAATCGGATGCCCTCGGATGCAAGAGGGGAGAATCACGTTACAATTTCGTTGAAACGTTGCGGGAAGAACGAAACAGGGAACCGACGGGAATATAATTACCTGGAGGACTCTCGTTTCACTTCTTCTTATTGGTCTTTCGATTTCTGCTCATGTTGTCTCGGATGATAAAATTTGTCAATGTTGATTGTTGAATAATTTTCAATATTATTGTCATTTTTTTTTTAGTATATTGTTTATAGTATAATAAAAATAAGTACAAATATTTCTGCATCAATCGTAGGATATTTATTAATATTTATTTCTTATACAGTCTATTGTAATATTATCTACAGGATATTTTTGGAAAATTAGATTAAAAACAAATATAAAAGTTGTTGTACAAAATGTCAGTTGAAACTTATGTTATTCATTGAAAATGAAATTTAATGCAAACTTAAATTATTGATAATAAATTAATCTTAATTTAATCATATATCATTAAACAATGTTCAATAAATATATTAATATCTTGCATATAGAATATTTCATATAACAAGCTTTAAATAATAGAAAATAGAATTTTGGAATCAAATACAATTCCAAAGATTGCAAATTCGCCTCTATTTTTTTAAAAGAAATTTTAAACTTTTTATACGCCAAGTGATGTACTTTTTATTTTTTATAAAAATATATTAATTTGTATTTATATTGGAAATTCATTAATGAAAAAAATGACAAAATAGTATCTTATATACAATATTACATAATTAAATCTAAAATATGTTTTAAATTAATTAATATTCAAATATCTTAATACTCCTTTATAAAGTATAATATATAATAAAATAATGTTTTGAATGACATGTAAAAAAAATTGTATAGTCTTATTTAAAAAAAAAAAAAAAGATAATTTGAAATCTTAAAACATTTCTATTATCTATAATACATATTAATACAAAATAAAAAAAAAAAATTTTTTAAATGACATGAAAAAAAAATTGTATAGTCTTATTTAAAAAAAAAAAAAAAGATAATTTGAAATCTTAAAACATTTCTATTATCTATAATACATATTAATACAATATAATAAACATAAATCTGAAATAACCGAACAAAACTTAATATAATTTTGATACGCACGAATATCATTCAATATCATTTAATTTTATCCTATGAAATTTTATTTTACCGTTTAAAGACTAATAAACTTTATCAAATTATATAAAACACTTTATATGTAATATTGTCTCAACATGCAACAAATTGTTAAACAAGCAAAAAAAAAAAAAATATAATAAAATCTGTTTGTCGAATTTAAAAAAAAAAAATTAAATTTAAAAATCTAATATATATATATAAATAATTCAAACATTATAATATAATAAAAACATACCAAAAAAAAAATCTCCAAAAACACTACCAAAGATTTCGATCGATATTTCAGATGATTTAACTCGTTTACCATCGAACAAATCTCTTTGAACGGGGAATGCAATTACGACGTGATGAAGTTGCCTTTGTAGAAACATGTATCGACAACATGGTGCACGACAACGGGTATCCATCGTCTAGCGGGCCCACGTGAACGACACCACAGTGGATTTCTGTCGCGAGCCGTGAGTTCGCGTTGCATCGTGGCGGAAGATTTATTAGCATCGGTGAAAATGCTAATAAATTTCTCGCGGATCTCATCGCTGCGTTAAACGCTTCGCTTATTCATCATTGATGAAATTCATTGACGTAATGGTAAATAAATAGAATCTTGCGTTTCGAAAAGAATAAATTAAATAAAAGAGTTTATCAATGGAATGGATAATCGATGATAAAAATTAAATTGAATTAAAATTAGTATTAATATTCGTGTTTATACACGGAAGATGATTGAAAAAAAATGTTGAATTAAAAATCTATTAAAAAAGAAATTTATGATTATGAAATTTATTGATTATGTAGTAAGAAATCTCATCATTTTTCAACTTTTATTCATTGCATTTTTTTTTCATTATATTCATATAAGTATTTATGTTTGGCATATTTAATTTTATTAAGACAACAGAAGTTCCATTAATTATCATTCTATTAATTAAGCTTCATCTTCAGAAATAATAATAATAATATAATGAAAGAAAAATTATTTAAAAGAATTCAATTTTTATTTTTAGCTTCCAAGATTTAGAAGAATTATTTCAAACATATTAATCATCATACTATATTCTATGAGGGTCGACTGAAAAGTAATATATATTCATTTATACCTTTTTTGAACAAAATCGAAAGTATAATTTATTAATTTCAAAATTGTATGTTTATTTTTTAACATAATTCATATTTATAAATCACAGATTTTTTTTATTCCATTACTGAAATGTTCTCATTTCTCGAATTCTGAATTCAAATTTCATCATTTCATTGTTCATAATCAAATGAAGACCTTTAAAGTTTTTTCTAAAATATATAAAAAAATTTGAAAATATAAAATGTAGACGAGTATAAATTTAAATTAGAATTGATTTAATTTCTTTAATTTCTTTGATGCATTTTTGATGAAGAATAAATAATGTACAATTAAGACTGATATGGCATAATATGGCATATTTATCAATCTCCATTATTAAAAATATTATTAACTACAAATGATTAAAATAAATAAAATAATATTTTGCACATTTATAAAGAAAGAATATTCATTTTGATACAAACCTCTCTACGTTTCTTTTTATTTCAGAATTGTATATAATTTCTTTTCAATTGTCTCATGTATATGATTGTTACTAAATAATTGATATATTTTTACAAATTAAAATTTTTAATTAAAAATTTAAAAGATCAAAAGATATACTGATAATATAATCTTTATGCGAATAATTATATAGAGAATTCACAAAGGCTTATAATTGATTAAAGTTAATCCATAAAATGATAATAGAATAATAACTATAATTTCAATTCAAATTCACCACTATAATATTTAATTTTATATCCTACGTTGAATTACGATAGCCCAGAGAATATAATACTAAAATAGTAACAGGTCTCTTGAGCCCTTCGAGGCACGAGACACATATTGAATGTTAAATCTATTCTGTATCTCACTGGTGGTAACAAACCTATGAATATATCATTTTGGATCTCCAAAATCTGTGTTTATCGTCGAAATAGTTGAGAATCCGAATATCCATATAAATGCATAATTGCAAAATGTAACATTGATCTTCTAACGTAAGTTTCGCCTTTAATGAATTAATCCCTCCTTTTGTCTACATTGTATCGCGGATTGCATCTAGGGTTGTTCATCAAATATAGGGAGGAGCAAGAGCGCAACGCCTACCTTTGTTTGTGGCAGCCAGGGAGAAATAGATCTCTCGTAGAAAGGCGATGACCGTGCTTGAACACGGATAGAAACCACGGTTCCCTTGTTTTCCAATTAGAGAACCGGTACGATAGTGTGTAGAACAACGGAAGACTGATTACGGATACATGAAAGAACTAGTTTTCCCTGCTAGAATTGCGGGGAAAAATTTTTCCTACAATGTCGATCGTTAACGAATGGAGAAAAAAAATTGCGAGAATGAAGAAAATTTACGGTCGTAAAGTGTTGCAGAGTACCTGTTGCTGTGTATTCCGATATTCACTTTCACAGTTATGTACGCGAGTTTAAAATAATAATATTTCTGTCTGCTTTTATTATTTTTTAGTATATTTGAAGTATAATTTAATGTTTTTTCTACTAATGGAAATTTTGTTGAAATGTTTAAAAAAAAAAAAGACAATGGAAATGAAAAGGAAAATGTTGAAATTAAGCTGGAATTTATAGATTTTATATGATATTATATAAAGCGAAGAATTAATTAATACGCACGAAAAAGACTTTCTCTTAATAAATATTACATCCTAGATACTATGTTGTTTGCTTATTACAAAATGAGGTTATGTTTCATCAAATTGCACCAAGAAAACTTGATCTTTTTTCATATGATCCAATGAACCAAATTTAGAATTAATTTTAATTAGCTACTAAATTGTTTAAAAAAACGAAAATATTAAATTTATTTCAAAATTAATTGTTTTCCAATAATTTAAATATATTTTTCATATGGAAAGCAAAAATATTTTTTCTGAAACTCCATTTGTTGTGTATTTTTTAAATTTTTTTATAAGAAAAGTCACATTAATTAAACTGAACATTATAAATTTAGAAAATTGTTTTCGACATTAAAGAAATAAATTTTTTAAACTTTAAAATATAATAATAATTAAATTAAAATTTATTTTAAAAAATAATTATCTTCAATTTGGTAATTAAAATTTATCAAAGATATCTAATCTTAACTTAACCTAAAAACAATAATCAATCGAATATAATTATCAATACAAATATGCTATTTGTTTGATATTTATATATTTTCATAAAAAAATGAAAAAAAATGAAAATGAATACGAAAATTAATTATCAGACAGACTGGTGTGAACAAAATTACGATGTGTAAATACATTTGCCGGATGGATTATGTTGGTTTAAATTATTACGTCAGCTGGCAACCCGGATGATCACATTGATCATTCTCGTCAGCAACACGCTTCCGTCACTAATGGAATTCGCTGACCTCGTTCGAGTGACTGACTTATCTATTGCTGGATCTGTTATGTTGGCGGGGAGCAACGATCGATTGCTAAGGATATTCGGAGTTCGAGTTAGAGTGTAGATAGCGTATTAAGAGTGTGTAGATTAGGTGATTAAAGAGAATTTGTAGATTCAGAAATTAATTAATATTGAAATCAATCGAATTGAGCATGATTCTTGAATATTAAATCATTAATATATATTATATCATAAAGTTATACCGCTGCATTAAAACATAATTGAATTCTGTAATTAATAATTATAATGTTAGGTTGAAATGAGATCTTAGAAAGAATTGAAGTTATAAAAAAAATATTTTTATAAAAGTTGGTGTAAATATAATATATATATGTATACATATGTATATATTAATAATATTATGTATACATATATATATATATTAATAATCTTTTGGAAAATGGACGCATCATATAAAAATAACTTTTATTTTTTAAATGGAATTATATACTTTTTTAATTCATGCAACTCGTTATTAAGTATCAAAAAATTATTAGTTTAAAAAATATCGAAGTTTGTAAAGATAAAGATAGCATGTAAAGATAAAGAAAGCATGAGATAAACATTATTTTTCACAATTCATAATCCATTGTGAAGAATATATAATATTTTGATTATTAAATTGATTTTTCAACATAAATAATTTTTTTATAAGAAATACAAGGAATATATACTGCATTGATTAATACATTAAAGATTATACAATTTCATTTTTAAAAAATGAACGGATATAAGTGTATATAATATTTATTTGATATTTATATTCATCTTTTTATATCAAATAACTTTTATAATAAAAACATTTTTATTACTTTAATCTCTTGTGAAATATTCCACTCATTTTCATTTAAATGTAAAAAACATTTCATACCTTAGATAATAACAAATAAACGTATAATTATAATTTTGAAGTGCATAAATGAAGAAAAATTCATTTACATTTACTCTCAAAAAAGCAATATGAAAAGAATGAAATATAATATATTTATTACAATATTCATATTTCTATTATAATATTTTTCTCCCAACAAGATAATTTTCTCTTTCCATTTTCTTTTTTCATAAAATCTCAATTTGTTTAAGAACAAATAATATTTATAAAAAAACAACAAATTATTATTTTATTAATAAATAATAAAATCATAAAGAATCACTTTACACTTTGATTAGATTATTTTAAAATCTAACTTTTTCATTTCAAATAAAAGAAATATTTTTATTGTTTTAATGTTTTTTAATGTAAATTAATTTTTTACTCATTCTTACTCATACAAAGAGTAAAATAAGATCATAAAAAATCTACATTACATACTAAGGATTAAGTTAAGTTAGAATCTAATCTTTTCACTCTAAACAAAAGGAATTATAAATTTTTATTTAATTTTTCGAAATTCATTTTTCATTTATTCTAAAAAAATGAAAAAAGAAACACAAATCTAAAGATTCTTTCATTTGTGAAAAAATTCTGGCTGCGTCTGGAGTTCCACACGAGTGCACGTGTGCACCAGGGTCGGCGAGAAATTAAAAAGCAGCCAACAGGGAGAGTAAAATGAAGCCAGCCCTGGGGGTCGTACCCTTGCCAAGTATCTTCTTCTTGCTTTCTTACATTTTCCCACATTTTTCACATGTTTCATGCAAACAATACGGTTAAACACGTTCCATATTGCGTGAAGTAATCAAATTGATGCATGTATAGAAAAAAAGTTTACTTTTTATACTCTTCTTTTATGTTTAAAATAATATCTGAAATTGAATAAAATTAAATAATGTATGAGAATTTAATTAAATCTTACCATATTTGTTATTTGTTATTTTAATATAAGTTACTATTTACTAATATAATTTAGATTAAAAATAAAAATCAATTATTTTTGATATTCATTTTATACATATTGATAGATATATTCGATTTCCATTGATTTAATTCATTATTTTTATTTTATTCCTCTTTTTATCGATCGATAAAAAAATATGAAATGTAATTTATTGCAAAATAAAAACTATTATATATTATACAATATTCATTATGTGCACATAATACACATTATATAGAAATAAAAATATTAATCTTAATTTTATATTTAATATAGAATATTTAAATCAGGTATATTTTGTTTTGTCTAATTTTTGTTTTTATATAGACAAAAGTAAAAATTTTTAATTGAAATTTGATAAATACAATCTCTCTATCTTCCTTCATCTAATGAAAATCTAAATTGCTAATGTGTTAGTAAATAAAT